CATGTCCTCATGGCAAGCATGCTTGGTTGTATACTACACTCTGATGGGCTCGCACTGTTTTCCTCATTCTGCTATTCTCAGCTCTGTTGGCACCTAAAGATTCTAGGCCAGCTAAACCATGCCAGTCCAATGGGGGATAACTCCCCCCCCCCCCCCCCCCCCCCTCCCCCTCTCTCTCTCTCTCTCTCTCTCTCTCTCTCTCTCAGTGCAGTGCAATCCGGTTGTTCAGTCTGACGTCACTAGCCGTGTCTGGGTCTAAACTCCGCTGCAGGTCCATATATCAAACGATCACTGTGGCATTACTGAGAGTTGAAAAACTGTCTAAAGTCTTTCATCTTTAATAAAATGATCAGCGTTCTGCTCTACCAGGTGTAACAATTGAGTTTAACATCCAGGCATCCATGAAAACGGAAGTTATGACATTTAACGGAGTTAGAAGTTAGCAGGAAGTTAGCTCGCTAGCTTCTATCTAAATACAATATAGCATGTCCTGACTGCGGGGTTTTGGAAACAAATTAAAACGTACAGCTCTGTTATCACTTCCAACATAAATGAAGACAGAAAACTAAACAGCAGTGACGTTTGTAGGGTTACTGAAGTTTGACTAGCTGGTATATGATGATGTGCTACGTGACCGCTAGCGACACAGCTATGTTAGCATAATATAAACAAGCTAACTTTTTTTCCACTGGATAAAAGTTACCGTGAGTTTTCTCGGTGGTCAGAAACAAATGTAATCGCATGGCAGGATGCTGTAAAAGGACCAAACTTCAGCCAGGAGAACAACTGAGATAATCCATCCACAATACGAGGTTAGTCATTCATATACTGCTGCATGGGCTGGGCTGTAGCTACATCCTAAGTTTTTAAAAACTGAGCTTAAATAAATGATTAGTGGTAATAAAAGCCGAGGGAGGTCAACAGGGATCACTGACTGTTTTAGGAGCTTTTTGAGATCAAATAGAAGAAAATACATAACATTAAACATGTTAACAACACAAAAGCCATATTAAACGCAGATTACTTTAGACCCGGAAGTAGGATTCGTCACGTCATCACTGAACAACCGGATTCAGTGGGGATTTTTTTTTTTTATGTTTTGCCCTCCTCCCAAATCCTTCCATCCCCATCACACATGCAGGGGCTTAAGGTACAGGTGTGTCACTGAGGTGCGAGGTCAAGGTCAAATTTATTTCTACAGCACATTTCAAACAGCCGATGCTGCACAAAGTGCTTAACAATATAAAAATGGTATTAAAAAGCAACAATGTAATACAATAATAACAATAAAAAACAATAATAGGACAATAAAAGAATTAAAACAATAACTAAACTAATTCAAATAAGACCAGAATGCCTGGGTCATAGTGTGTTAAAAGCCAGGGCATAGAAATGTGTCTTTAGTAAAGATTTAAATTGCTCAAGTGTTTGTGCAGATCTAATATTTAAGGGGAGACTATTCCAAAGTCTGGGACCTGCCACAGAGAAGGATCTATCACCACAGGATTTGAGATTAGTCCGTGGGATGGACAGCATTAGTTTTGAGGTAGACCTCGTGGTTTTTCCTGGAGCACAAACAGAGACGAGCTCAGACAGGTAAGGAGGGGCTCGGGCATTAAGTGACTTAAAAACAAAAAGTAAAAGTTTAAATTGGATCCTGTAGGAGACAGGAAGCCAGTGTAATGAAGCTAAAACTGGGGTTATATGCTCTCTCCGTTTGGTACCATGGCTGTGGCCCCCCACACTCCCTAGCAGATCGTTACATGGAGAAACCTTTGGAATACAAGCATGCTGATCCACATGGGTATTCACAGACGCGGACTACAGCTTTCTTGGCTGCTGCCTCAAAGCACATTGTGCGCTGTCTATCTTGCGTGCTGCACAATATCGTTTATTATTTAGTATCTACTGATATCTACTGCTAGCTAGTTTATTGTGATGGTGCCGTTTTTTTTATTATGTTGCTCTTTGTTGTTTGCTTTCTCTTCTGTTTTTGTTCTCCATACGGGTGACCCAGGTGTTTGTTTTTTTTTTCTTTTCTTTTCTTTTTTCCCCCCCTTCTCACCGTCTCTTCCCCCCTCTGGTTTTCTTTCTCTCCCTCTCTTTCTTTCATTCTTTCTCCCTGTCCTATCCCCCAGTCATGTCTGTCCCGTTTGTAGCAACTGAAAATAAAATAAATTCATAATTATAATAAAGGTCAATCAATCAATCAGTCTTTATTTATAAAGCACTTTTCATACAAAAAAATGTAGCCCAAAGTGCTTTACATAGTTAAAAGCAGCCCACCCCACCCTCCAATTCACTCCCCACACTCTCATTAACATAAATGACACATATCCCCCCCCCCCCCCACACACACACACACATGCACACACTTAAAGAGTAAAATTGGGCTGGGTTCGCATGAGCCAAGTGAGGAAACACTACAGGGAGCCGTCTGCACCGGGAGCCGGTCACAGACCACAGCCTCCGGGCTGGGCACACAGCAGGAGGGAGGCAAAGGAGCCCCCCAACCAGGCTGAGAGGACCCCCAGAGACCCAGCAGCCACGGTCAATAACAGCCCCGGTGCAGAGAGCCCCCTCCGAGGAAACACTCGAGATATGACACAATAGGATATATACAGGGTAAAACGATAAAATAAATAAGAACAGGATACAATATAAATATAAATAGAGTAAGAAGATTAAAAAATGAATAAGAATAAAATCAAGAAATATTAGGTAAAACCTAAATTAATAATATAAATAGAATAACAGGATAGAATAAATAAGCATAAAATAAATAAACGCTAAGTAAAAGCTAAATTAAAAAGGTGGGTCTTGAGCCTGTTCTTAAAAACATGTACGTTCTCTGCGGCCCTGAGCTCCTCCGGCAGGCTGTTCCACAGATGAGGACCATACCACTGAAAAGCTGCCTCTCCGTGAGTATGTGTCCTGACTTTAGGGACAATCAAAAGGCCAGTACCAGAGGACCTCAGGGTCCGCGAGGGTTCGTATGGTAAAAGCAGATCTGAGAGATAAGAAGGCCCAAGACCATTAAGACATTTAAAAACCAATAAAAGAACTTTAAAATCGATCCTGAAACACACGGGGAGCCAATGCAGCGATTCTAAAACCGGTGTAATGTGGGCCCGCCCTCTGGTCTCCGTCAGCACACGAGCTGCCGAGTTTTGCAAGAGTTGTAAAGGTGAAATATTCTTCTTAGGAAGACCAGAGAGCAGGGCATTACAGTAATCAATGCGACTGGTAATAAAAGCATGCATCAGCATCTCCGTGTTGGCCTGAGAGAGAATAGGGCGGACTCTGGCTATATTTTTTAGATGATAAAATCCAATTTTGGTTACATGTTTAACATGTGGGATAAAACCAAGCTCAGAGTCAAAAATAACACCCAGGTTTTTCACTTGTAGCGAAGGACATAGTGAAAATGCCTGTAATTTAGACAAAAGTTTCTCTCTCTGAGCCTCAGGACCAACAATTAAAACTTCAGTTTTGTCCTGGTTAAGCTGTAAAAAGTTTTCTGCCATCCAAGATCTTATATCTAAGACACAGTTAAAAAGGGCATCCATTGGTCTGGTGTCATCAGGAGACACGGAGATGTACAGCTGCGTGTCATCAGCGTAACTGTGGACGTTCACTCCATGCCTCCTGATGACACTGCCGAGAGGGAGCATATACAAACTAAAAAGTACAGGGCCTAGAACCGACCCTTGAGGCACACCACATGTCATTTTATGGATCTTAGAGGAGCATGTATCCATACTCACCATAAAAGTTCTGTCAGAGAGACAGGAAGTGAACCAGTTGTGTACAGCACCAGAGACGCCCACCATGTGTTTCAGTCTGTTTAAAAGAATAGCGTGGTCTACTGTATCAAAGGCTGCGCTTAGATCCAGCAGCACCAGGACTGAGAGCTTTTGGGCGTCCCAGTTACATCTAAGATCATTTAAAACCTTTAGGAGAGCCGTCTCTGTGCTGTGGTTCACCCTAAATCCAGACTGGAATATCTCCAGGATCTGTCTATCATTGAGAAAATCAGTAATCTGAGTAAAAACAAGTTTTTCTAAGACTTTACTTAAAAATGGTAAGTTGGATACAGGTCTGTAGTTATTAAAATCATTACAATCCAAATTGCTCTTCTTCAGAAGGGGCCTCACCACCGCCATTTTAAAGGCAGCAGGGAAGACACCCAACTGAAGAGAGCAATTCATCATGTGTAAAAGCTCAGCCTCAAAAATCCATAAAGTGTTTTAAAGAGTGAAGAAGGAATTGGAGCTAAAAGACATGTGGTGGGTCTCACTGTGGAGAAAACCTTCTGAAAGTTCTCAGCATTAACCAGGACAAAGCTGTCCAGTGTCTCCTCAGGTACAATCGGGCCCTCAGATGTGTTTACAATCATATCGCGATTAGATAAAACATCAGATCTGATGGCGCTGACGTTTCCCCTGAAGTGGTCTGCAAACTGCTCACAGAGCGAGTCTGTGGGGCTTCTTTGGGGGCTTTTAAAATCAGGGTTAAATAAGTGATCTATGGTGGAAAAGAGGACCTTGGGATTATTTTTGTTATTACTGATTATTTTGGTGAAGTATGAATTTCTTGAGTTCCTTAACCCGTTTGTGCCCAGATTTTTTTCAGAGTTGTAAGGCATATCATTTTATCAGTTGAGTCCCTCTGAATCATGTTATGTATTTATTTTTTCCATTTTGTACTTTTTTTTGAAGAAAATAGCATTTTTATGACTGGCAACAATTGTTGCCAGTAGTCACACAGCTTGTCACTAGGTCAAATGTCACCTAATAATAATAATAGAGAAGTAATAATAATAATATAATAAGAACAAAATAATAATATAGTCATAATAAATAATAACAAAAAGGTGGAGCCTCAGGTTCCCCCTGTATAAAATTCAAAACATCAAACAATTTGAACTGATTTCTTTATTCTCAATTTTTTTATACTCAAAAACTCAACAAACATTTTTTCTTAGAACCTCTAAAAACATATATACATATATAACATATTTCTTCCCATACATTCCATCATCTTTCATGCATGTTCTACTCAGTGTGGTACTTCTTGAAGCACTCCACATGTAGTGGCACATCACACTTTCCACACGCAAATGATGTGCGTCCGCCGCAGTTCTTGCATCGCTTGTACCTGCTACCAGTGTTGCAGGGCCAGTGGTTCAAATTATCAAACCTGGTGGCATCAGTTATCGCCACCGCCATTGAAGATCTTCTGCCCTGCCTACTTGGCTTTGTTCCATGGCGCAGGAGGAGGGTCTGGGCTACCAGCCTCTGGAAGGAGAGGAGATCCTTCTCCCCGCTTTTCCAGGACCTAAATGAATGACAAAACAAGCATGATAGATGCATGAATGTGCATCGTTTCATCCTTTCTACAACGCCATGCCCCATATGTAGAATGTTCTGTAAAAGCAATATCACACTTGAGTTTGTGATGTTGGTCTGGATGCACTGTTGCTCTTGTCGACCGAAGAGCACTAGCGATGACCTCGAGTCAAACATCACCAACTCGATTGTGATATCACTAAATAACATACAGCCTTGTGTACCTGTAATAGCACCAGCTGTTCACCATGGCACTGTTCAGGGCCCAGCTGAAACATGGCCACCACCACTTCTTGGACCGGATGTTGACTCTGTAGCGGCTGACAAACTGGTCATGCAGGTCCACTCCTCCCATGTGTGTGTTGTAGTCCTGGATACACTTGGGCTGTCTGACCTTGTCCATAGTCCGCTTCTGTTTATTCCATCTCTTCGCCTCAGTTTCGGTGAACTCCCTCTCCATGTTCGACACCACGGTGACCACGCTGTTGTCATTCCACCTTACAATCAGCTTCTCTGCCTCAACCAGATACTCAGCATCTCCTCTGGGTGTCTTCTTGAAGGTCTGGGGTGCTGTGAAGGGAACGTTATGGAGCTGAGTTTGTCGCATCGTGCCACAGCTGCCATAGCCTCTCAGGGTCATCTCATCCACCAGGGACAGGGTTGTGAAGAGGTTGTCGTGGTAAAACTTGACTCCAGGTGGCACTTCAGCTTTCTCTGCCAGGCCAAGGCCAAGGCCAGCTTTGGCCGCAATTTTGATTTTTTTGAATTTCCTGTCTTGGTTCTTAGTTTTGTGGAGCATGGGCCCAACAATCTGACTGGTCACATTTTCATTTGTGCCACTGACCTTTCTAGTCTCTGTCTGACTCACTGAGGATGAGCACCCAGGATCATCATCGGGGGGATTTGGCAGCTGCATGTCCGAATTAGGTAGAAAGCCTTCACCTTTGAGTATTCTTGATGGGAGGCGGTTATGGTCACCAGTGGCCTCATCATCAGATTGGTCACTGTCACAGTCTGTGTCATGTGCGTGCATTTCTGACTCAGGCACAACTGTGATGTCCGCCACAGTTTCAGAGTCCTGCAGCATGGCCAGGATCTCTGCTACGGTGTACCTAAGGAAAGGACAACATACATGTTAGCTAGCAAGCGAATTTTAGCTAGCAAGAAAATGATATATGGTAATGTATAAAAATCCTATACACAGAGGCCTTGAATACCTGTGAATTTATTTAGCTAGGAATTATTCTAAAAGGACTAAAATGAGCCATTGTACATCATTCTACAATTTTAAATAAGTAAATTAGGAGCAATCCTGCAGACAGTGTTTTCCTTTAGTTAGCGACATGCTATGTGCCCACTGGCAACTTTTGTTGCCACTCACAGAAATAAGCCCATGAACAAAAAAATATTTATCCTAGGTACAATTTTTTTGGGGAGGGTTACTCTAGAGACTTGAATGATTAAATAATTATAAATATGTTTGGGGGGAAAGTCATAAGAAATTTATGAAAATTACCTCTTTCCAGGATGATTTGCATCCGCCATGTCTTCAGCCAGAAAGAGCGGGAAGCAGATGATGTCATGCGATAGGAAGCACTTGGAAACGATTTTTTAAAAATCAAAACCTTTGTCTAAGTTGTCTACTAGCATATAAGTGGAAAAAGTTGCATTAGTACCTTTGAGATTTTTTATTGTGAGTCGAAAATGACAGTGATAAACTTTGGCAACAATTGTTGCCAGTGGGGCAAAACGGGTTGTATTATTGTACATTTTAAGTTGCTCGCAAAGTATTTGATGGTTGATAGTATTTTTATTTTTCCTCCATCTCCTTTCTGCTGCCCTGCAATTTCTTTTGAGTGTTTTGACTTCTTCGTTTCTCCAGGGTGATGCATGTTTTACGTTAATCTTTTTGGTGGTGAGTGGAGCAACGGAGTCAAGGCTTTTCTTCAGTTTGCTGTTGAAATGATTAAAAATCAAATCGCAGGGTGCAGGTAGAATCACAGGGGGGCATTCGTCTAAAACCCTGGTAAAATTTGCAGCCACTTCAGAGGTTAGAGAGCGCCTCCTCACAGTTCGCACCGAGGTCTCCCGCTGAATAAAACCGGTGATGTTAAAAAACACACAGTAGTGGTCAAAGACAGCCAAGTCAACAACAGAGGACACGCTGGTGGACAGCCCATGGGTGATGAATCAAATGGACCAATATGGCAAGGCCATGATGATCCACTTGGTAAAATAAATCCGCTTGGCATCTTTCTTGGCCTTAAGACAACAATTCTGATGGCTAAAGATCCAAACAGGACAAAAAAAAAAAGAAAAAAAATAGATAAATCTGCAAATCATCAGCAAAACAGTGAAATGAAATGCTGTACCGCGAGAAGATGGAGCCCAATGGCAACAAATAAAGTGCGAACAGAGCAGGACCCAAAATAGAGCCTTGAGGTAACCCGTATTTAAGAGGGGCTATTTTGGAGTTGTGGGGGCCCATACTGACATAAAAAAACCTTTCTGACAAATAGGACCGAAACCACTGTAGGGCAGATCCTTTTAGGCCAGCATGAAATTCTAGCCATGATAACAGGATGTCACGGTCGACCGTGTCAAAAGCTGCTGACAAGTCCAACAATAAAAGGGCAGCAGGGCTGCCAGAGTCCAGAGTTAAAAGAATATCGTTAAAAACCCTTAAAAGTGCCGTCTCAGTGCTATGTAGTGATTTAAAACCAGATTGAAATTTATCAGAGATCATATTAAAATCAAGGTGGGCCTGCAACTGTAGGTAGACCACTTTCTCCAAGACCTTAGATAGAAAAGGAAGCTTTGACATAGGCCTGTAGTTGGACAGAACAGTTGGGTCCAGGTTTTGTTTTTGAAGAAGAGGCTGAACTACAGCTTGTAGCATGATGGGACGCAGCCTGTAGCAAGGGACGTATTAATTAATCTCAGGATAAAAGGCCCAACAGTATTAAAAGTGCTTTTAAGCAAGCTCGGGGGGAGACAATCAGAGGGGCAGTGTGATGATCTTAGGTTACTAACTACCGCGGTCAAGTCCTTAAGGGAGACGGGATCAAACTGCTCTAAGACAGCTGAGCACACAGGAGAAGGACTCTGATCTGAGGCAGCAGACGACGAGACAAGAGCCCTGATCGATAGGATCTTGACATTAAAAAATGCTAAAACATCATCGCACATACTTGGTGAAGAAATGACTCCAGCATTATCACGTGAACTAAGAAAGCGGTTAAGGACATTAAAAAGTACCTGAGGCCTGTGACTGTTTACTGACACTAAGTTTGAGACAAACGTTGTCTTTGCAGTTTTTACAGCTTCTTGGTGAGCAGAAAGACGAGTCCTTAAAGTCTGTAGGTAAACGTGCAATCTGTCCTTTTCCCATCTCCTTTTGGCGCGTCTGCAGTCACGTCTGAGGGAGCGCGTAGGTGCAGGAGGCAGTCCTCCTCTGTCTCCTTCTGGCCACCTGTGCCTCAGTTTTGTCCACAACTTAGACGCTCACATTACTCACACTCTCATAACACATACATATAGGGCCTTGGGGGTGGGCACATTAAACGGCATTCAGAGGACAGTCTGTTCATTCACCGTCACCTCTGGCGCCGGTGCCCGACTCTCGATTTTAAACACATGTAGACATTGAGGGTTCTTGGGAGGGGCCGTGCTGACACCAGCTGCTGTCTGGCAGAGGTAGCTGGCACTGTGCCCCTGCCATGTTTTAAATGCACTTTAGAGCAGCACGCAGCAACACCACATATGAGCGGGCGGCGTGAGGTATGGGGTCTTCACACCCTCGTCACCATTGCGGATGGGGGCCGGGAGGAGGAGCTGGCCATCTGGTCTGGGTCCGAGCTGGTGGGCTTCCCCTCTGGGGGTGCTGGTGCCTGGACCCATTTGGGGAGTGTGAGTGCGTGTACTGCGTTCAGTTCTGTGTGTCTCCGTGTTGTGCGAGTGCTGAGTATTTGTATATGTGTGCACAAGGGTGGGAATGCATGTTTGTGTCTGTGTGTGCCTGTTTGTCCATGTGCCAGGTCGGGTCATAGACCCCACCTCTCTGGGAACATCTGAAGCCCCTCCAGGTGTGGGGGCCTGGAGGGGCTAGGTGCCCAGGTATGTAGTGGCTCACTCCTGGCGGCTCCTTGGCAGGGCCTGGAGCCCGTGGCTTGGTCGGGCCCCTTCTGGGCCCGGTGATCGTTCCACCCTGACTTTGCCAGTTCTCAGCAAAGCCTGCGGGGTTGTCACCATGGCCCCCTGTGGCTTCTGCACTGTGGCTGCTGCTGGTGACCCTCCCCCCCCTCTGGGGCTCTCCTCAGCTCTTTTCTAGGTGGGTGGTGCGACTGCCCCTCTGGTGGTCCTCCATGGGCTCTCGTGCTCTGGGGGGCCTCTAGATTTCTGGGGCCTGGATTTCCTCGATGCCTGCTTCATGTCCTGGGAGGCAGAGCTACGTCACGGGCGGCACAGAAATGAACCTAAAAGCAGACACTGAACTCGGAGTGGTTCGATGCAAAAGTGAATTTATTTACAAGTGAAAAGTGAAAGTGCACAGGAAAAGTCTCGCAGAGAGGTGGGTCTGAAATCAGAGAGAGAGGAGTTAGCGATATGTGCCGCCAGGGACGGGACATGACTGTACTGTGGAATGTGTGGGTGGCTTACTTGAGACAAGGGTGAGCGGCACTGTGGGGGAAGCCAGAGAAGGTCCGGGGTGTCGATGAGCCGAGAGGGAAGCGTCCTTCCAAGCGGAGCAGGCGAGGATAGTGAACAGGTGGGCAGGCAGGTGAGAGTGATCTTCTGATTACGCAGACTGACAGCAGCTGATGTCCTTACTGGCAGAGATGCAACTGACGTGACTAATGTTGCTGTGAGCATCCCTAATGCTCTTAGAATTTGTTTTACTACAATGAAAACATTTAGAAAAACTGAACCATACTACTGTCATAGTCCCTCTATGTATTGGCACTGTAACGTTGGGTTGTGTTGTGTGGTTGAGAAGAGGCGGCAAAACACCTAGCAGGCTAGGCGGAAGAATACACACTCACGCTGGTGTTGGGAATTCCACAGTGTGTTCTTTAATATACCTTCTCTTCATCAACCATATAAGCCCGGTTGAACGGCTGCAGCTTAACAAACATAGCGCACAGTGTTCGTACAACCAATAACGTTGCAAACAAAGGTGTCTGGAGAGGTAAAACATAAAATCCGTCCCTCCTCATGCACTAGCGTGCAAGCACATGTCCACACAATCACAGAGAGAGAGAGCAGAGCAGTGGCACAAACTGATGACACCATCAACCCTCGACTTGGGTGTCTTAGAGGGACACCACACCATAGTGGCTGTTACAGCACCTTGTCATGGTGGAGGGGTTTGTGTGTCCCAGTGATCCAAGGGACTATGTTGTCCAGGGACTTTTACTGCCCCCTGGTAGTCTCCAAAAGCAAACAGGTCCTGTGTGAGGGGACCAGACGAAGAGCTCTTTATCGTGTTTTTTGTTGTTTTATTTTTGCTGCTTGCTGTCTTGTTTTCTGTGCTCTTTGCCAAGACTTGGATGTGGTGCCTTGCTTAGGATTACCATAATGACCCTAATATCAGTAAAAAGCACAGAATTGCTGCTTTCAGGAACTGCTGGAATTTTGCAATTGCACCAGTGGTTCAAGAGTCACGGTAGTTTGACACCGTATTCACACATAAGGATGTTCATAAGTGCACAACGCACCAGGACATCCTAAGTAGCACTCAGGTGAAGAGAAGGGCAGAGCTGTTAACTGATCAACACCTGGTGGCGAGTTGGATCAGGTGGTGGGAAAAGACGTCGGACAGACCTGGCACACCCAAATTTGCCAGGTGCACTGGGAATGCCTGGCAGAGGCCCCAGTCTAAGAGATCGTCAACTCCCACCCCCAGCAGAGCTACAAAAGATTTGATGGGAAGCTGGGGACACTGAGTCTGAATGGAACGTTCTACACCTCCATCGCTGAGGCTCCTGCAAGGAGCTGCAACTGCAAGGTGTTGCTTTTCAGGCTTGTTTAGCCCGTAGGATTTCTGACACAGCTGATGGGTACTGGCAGTCCAAATGGTTTGTGGCTCGGATCGTAGCTGAAGCAAAAACGCTGGTGTGGGAGATGTTTGGTGAGGCCATGGATCGAGACTTTCAGTCTGCCTTGAAGCAATTCTGGCAAATTTTCATGCAACTGAGGAGGGAAGCAGTGCTCTGCTCACACAGTGTATAGTGGGGGTGGGGTGCTGATGTGCTCAGGTAGTTGGGAGTTGGAAGGAATACTCCGAGGGCCTCCTTAATCCCACTGACACACATTCTGTAGAAGAAGCTGAGTTTGGGGACAAGGGGGACGACGAGCCCTCTCCTGAGGCCAGGTCACTGAGGTAGTTAGACAACTTCTTTGTGGCCCCTGGGGTCACAGAGTTCTTGAATGCTCTGGATGTTGTAGGGCTGTTTTGGTTGACACACCTCTATACCATATCACATGGACATCTGGATGGTATCTCTGAAATGACAGACTGGGGTGGTGGATCCCATCTTTGATAAGGTGGTGGGTGTTCTCAAACTTCAGGGGGATGACACTACTCAGCCCCACTGGAAAGGTCTATACCAGGGTACTGGAAATGTGAGTCTGTCCATCAGTTCAACCTCGGATAGAGGAGGAACAATGCAATTTTTAACCTGGTCGCGGAACACTAGACCAGTTATTTATCCTTTCAAAAATATTTGAGGGTCCATGGGAGTTTTCCAAACCAGTCTACATGTGTTTTGTGGACCGAGAGAAGGCATTTCCTGGGTACACTGTGACGATAAAGGGATTGACATGGTCAGCAACAATGAGCAGTTCGCCTGTAACATTTAAACAATCCTCAGTGGGGGCCAAGGAGAGCAAAGTGTGCCAAGCAAATAAAGTCACTGTCATATTATCATCTGTCTTTGTTGGTTTTAATTTATTTGAAAACAAAAAACAACAACAACAAGAAAATATTCCCCACGCCATTATACCCCCAGCAGCCTGAACTGTTGATACAAGGCTGGATGGATCCTGCATGGATACTTTCAAGTTGTTTATGGCAAATTCTGACCCTACCATCTTAATGTCGCAACAGGAAACAAGACTTATCATACCTGGCAATCAATGTTCCCTCTAATGTTTCACGTGTCTGAGCGAACACACAAACTCCCTGAGCGTCCCTTGGACCACTGTGAGCACCAGCAGACGTGAGCACTGTGGTCACGCTGGCATCGAATCCATCCAAGTTACATGTTTTATTAAAGTAATCAAATTACAGCATTTATGTTAGACTACTTTTAATTAACTGTCCATGACCTGTGCAGCATGTTAACACTATTAGAAGTAAAAAATAATTTGAACTTCAATTTTGAAAACACAACTTTCTTTAAATAAAGCTCTGACTTGTATTCTGAGTCTGTGGTCTGGGAGAGAGTCTGTAACTCTGTCTGCAAAATACAGGATATAATGACCAATGTTGGGCTATTAATTATATAGTTACTTCTTCAAAAAAGTAACTGAGTTTTGCAAACAACAAAGTTTTTTGCAGCTGTTTACCTAAAAATGCAGCCAAGACGTTTTTAAATAAACATTTCAAACTATTTACAGAACAATCAGCTGTTCTGCATCAAATCTGATGCCACACAAATTATTTGTGCCGCTCCAAAAATAATTTCTGTCCACTATGAGATGAAGGAGAACAACAGCCTGATACCTGCAGGCCTGACAGCAGCAGATGTATCACTATCGTCTTTACCGTTTCTTCCCGCAGTAAACATAAACAACGACAGTATTCAGGAAGAAAACCAAACATTGCAGATATTTTATCATAACTCTGGTTTTACGTGGCCGATCAACGCAATTTAAAAACTGGTATAAAGTCCACACTTTGTCCGTCAGTTGTTCCGTCTGTCCTGCTCACGTTTCCAATGGTTGTACACGTTGTCATTAATAGGGATGGGTATCGAAACCCGGTTCTTGTTGAGAACCGGTTCCCACTGTTTCAATTCCTTGGAATTGTTTGCCATTTTTGCAAACGATTCCCTTATCGATTCCAGTCGCCCCGAATGACGTCACCACGTTGCGGTGCGTCATTTACCTGGCAGGAAACATGGCGCCTAAACGGCTCAAACGCTCAAAAGTTTGGTTATACTTTACAGAACGAATGACAACAGGGCAACTTGCAATACTTGCAAAGTAGATATTTCATTTAAGGGAGGAAACACTACGAATATGCAAAAAACACGCGATGACCTTAAATGAATGTCGCGTTTTTAATTCCGCTCCAGACTCGTGAATCTCAACCCAGCAGCAGCGGTAACGTTTGCACGTCCTCTCCCGTTAATGCGGCAGGTAAATAATCAATAACAGTGCATATTATGTTAGCGCGATCTGCCTTATTACAGACCTGCCATTACTGTGCATTTAGGTGACCATGATGAGACAGACAGAGTCTGGCTCAGATGCTGGCAGCTCTCGCTGCAGTCTACCGGTAGCGTCTCCTTTCAGGCCAGGATAGACGAATGTCACCGAGCAGTGACTCAGTTTGTGGTCAAAGGCTTGAACCCGTTTGCCACAGCAGATGATTTTCAGTAAGTGAATGTGTTTAATTGTAGGCAGGGACATTACTGGATATTCTTGTGTAATTGCTACAGAATAATTTATGTTATACTTTGTTATTGCTACAGAAGAATATTTATTTTATTATTTTACATTTACATTTTTTTCCTGGGGACCCTGTGACACCCCATTGAAGAGCCACAGGCTGGATCTCTTAAGATGTCACTGTTGGGTTTGTAAGGCCATGTTACTCCTAAATTTCTATCTTGTTCAAAGAGAAGATATAAAACAAAGTTCTAAGCTAATCGACCTTAGTGTTCTCCTTTTTTAAAAGAATCGATAAAGAATCAAATCGTTAAACAGAATCGAAAATGGAATCGGAATCGTGGAAATCTTATCAGTACCCATCCCTAGTCATTAATGTGGCTTCACTCCACATCAGCCGCTTTGCCAGCTAAAACACCGGCACATAAGGACGCTGTCATAGCTGCGTATATACGAATGTAAATCGCATTATTGGCTGGACTATGGGATAAGGTGGCATCGTTCTAATCCCATACGGGAGCAGCCAGTCACTGACTGACACTGCAGAACAGAATTGTTAAAGTTTTCATTTTAATTTCAATTCAGGTTAGATTTTTTTCTTGTGCGCAACGCAGATTTTCTGTGCAGAGACCGTGCCAGCAGTGCGCAATTGCGCACGCGCGCAGCTTAGAGGGAACATTGCTGGCAATGTTTTTTCCAGTCCTCTATTGTCCAGTTTCAGTGAGTCTTTGTGACCTGTAGCCTCAGTATACTGGTCTTAGTTGACAGGAGTGGCAATTTCTGTGGCAACTTTAGTCCATCTGTTTCATTTCAGCGTTGAACCTGCTGCACTGAGAGATGCTTTTCTGCATACCTTGGTTTTAACAAGTGCCCTTTTTAAGTTACTATTGCCCTCCTACAGGCTTGGGGCAGTCTAGCCTTTCTCCTCTGCCCTTTGGCATTTTCACCCAGAGAACTGCAGCTCGATGGATATTTCCTCTTTTTCATCCTATTCTCTGTAAACTGTAGAAATGACTGTGAAAATCCCAGTAAATCAGCAGTTTCTGACATACTCAAACCAGCCCGTTGGTCACCAAGAACCATACCTTAGTAGCGTATGCTTCAACTTCAGCAGTAACACTAATGACCCCAAGGACACTGTTATTATAAAAGAGACACACAAAGAACTTCATATTGTTGCATGGAGGCCTTTTTGGCTACCGAGACGAGAGACTTGCTTCTAAAAGGGCCATCACCCAAAAAACGGTCTTCCCAGCTACACTTCCACTTAACTACAGCAGATGGCAGTGTCGCTGCTGACTGCCCTTCATCGGTTCCAGTCCCACTGAAGATGAAGAACCAGCCCTCCGTGAAGCTAACAGCTAACATCCGTGAAGTAAAAAGGGATGAAAGCTTATGACGGCCGGCTCATGCGACAGGCAAACCAGGTTAAAGTAGCGGCTCGGCGTGCGGAGCTATGGAGAAAAGCTTCGCTCAGTGGAAAAAGCAGTGCCTGAACAAAGCGGACCTGAGTAAGAAGGGCGCCGTGGACGAGGCCATCGAGCACGTCGTGTCTCTGCTCAACAGCCGGGAGGAGTACTTCACCACCAGCTCCTGCTCTGGGAGAGTCATCCTCATCGACGGGGTGAGTCTCACACACTTTTATTATAGAGGGATGTTTATGACAAATAGCTGGGAGAAAACGATTGCCTTCACATTTTATTTCTGTAATACCTCTGAACTGAAATCAGCTGAAACATGAAGCTGCAGAGGAGAGCATTGTGCTGTCAGCGATCGGAGAAGAGGAGCAGTTCTTGGAATCATTTGAAGGCTCCGGTTGATCTGACCTGGTTGCCGTAGTTCGCAGACTGTGTGACTTGAGACTGATTGTCAGCACATCGTCAGCTGTAGAGGTGAAAGTGTCTGACCTGATCGCTGTTGCAGTGCTGCAGACTGGTTCAAGATGCAACACTCTGGGAGGCGTTCGTCATTATCGTTGTTGGACGTATTCAACATCCCTTTTGTTTTGCTGTCTTGGTTTCATGGTGTTTTCTTAAGTTGCAGTTTGTTTGACAGCAAACCACATCCTGACTGCTGTCGGAGCAAACAAACAAAAACCATGGAAATCTGTACTGAAACATGACAGTTGTCCCCCCTCTCTAGGCTCCAGAGAGCAGTGCTGTCCAGAAACAGAACTGTGCCTGGCTGTTTGTCTCACATCACAAGTGTACCTCAGAGGACCTGGTGAGACTCGTGGTGTCCTGATGATTAATACCCGTCGTGGCTGAATGTGCTGTTTTATCACATGCCTGTGTGTGTGTTTTCTAGCTGTCTGCTCTGGCCGGGTGCTCCGGTGATGCTGTGTTGAAGTTTGAGCCCTTTGTACTCCATGTTCAGTGCCGGCGGCTGGAAGACGCACAGCTGATGGTGAGTCTTTCTTAGGAGAAACAAATAATTTGTCACATTTTCTGGTTAGTTATCTCTCAAAGGCAGCTCTACTAATCTTTTAGGCTTGAACGTGACCCTTGCTTATGCTTAGTGACTTGTTTCTGCCGTTCATATATGTCAGTGACTCTGCAAACATTTAAGAAGCACAACACCGACAGGAGTCAAGATCTTTACTGACATGAAGAACACACGTTTCATCCCCTAAATCTTTCCTCACTGTGGTGAGTCCTCCAGTGTTTCTGTGTATATGCTGATGCCTGCACGTGTGTAAATGGGGCTTTTGCCAGCGTAACTACACGCTGTGCAGTCTTGGACCACATGCTGTAGCTCTTTCAGCTCTGCAGCGGTGGGGCTTTGGGCTTTGACCAGGCTTCAGGTGCTGAAGGTCCATCTCAGGTTGTTGGACATGGTGAGACCAAGGACGTTTTAGTTGTTCATAGTAAGAAATATGAGAATACAGGAGAGTGAAACAATAAGACCAAACTGTGTGTGGGTAACACTGTGACTCAAGTTTCATATACGAACCATCCAGTTGCCTTTGGTCATGTAGTTGACAACATCCAGCTTCAGGTGCTCTCGCACTGCTCTGTTTACGTGAGGAGCTGTGAAAGGTACAGGGTGAAGCCTAACATGCTAGCACACAAGTGAAGGTTTTTTAAACCCACGATGCTGCAGTACATCTCTGTAGTTCGTGAGCAGGTCAGTGCTGCTATGGCCATAGCTCCTACTGAAGGAGAAACACTAACTGTGGGTCAGAAACTCACTCAGCCTCGCTTCAAAGGAGCTAAAATACATTTCGCTCAGTGAAACCAATTTATGTGGTGATGAGCTGATTAAGATGAAACCTTACTGAGATGACCTCAGACATTTGTAATGTTTTATAGTTTTCTTTCTTTGGCTACGACGTGACGATTGTTCCCACTTATGGCCATTCGACACACATGTAGCGCAGATCACTGCCCACTGTAGAGGCCCTGCTCACAGAGATGCTCTCACACTGTGTTCAGTTAGCTTTGCAGGGAAAACTGTGACTCCTATAAATTCTGCTTTGTTTTTCCTTTTTACACCTTTACAAAGAAAGACCCTTTTTGACACACTTTAATTTGAATGCTTAAAGCTTTTATGCAGTGCTGCTGTCACTGCTGAACGTGGCACATGCTGCTGACAAATCCTCTGTCAGCTGTTATGTAAAGCAGCTAGCTCATGCCTTAGTGCAGGGGTGTCGAACTCCAGGCTTCGGTGTCCTGCAGGTTTAGATCCCACCCTGGGTCAACACACCTGAATCACATGATTGGTTCATTAACAGGCTTCTGGAGAACTTCAAGACATGTCGAGGAGCTAATTTATCCATTTAAATCTGCTGTGTTGGATCAAGGACACATCTAAAACCTGCAGGACACCGGCCCTCCAGGCCTGGAGTCCGACACCTGTGCCTTAGTGTCACTATTCTCTAACATTGTCAACACACTACAAAGTATTAGGATCACCTCTAACACCAAAGAGAGGATTGTTTAGGATCGAGTCTCAATAATTTATCCAGGTAAACTGTGTGTGTGTCTAACATGTCGTCTCACCTGCAGCATTCAGTGGCCATCGACTCCGGCTTCAGGAACTCAGGCCTCACTGTCGGCAAGAAGGGAAAAATCATCACGGTATGCTTAAAAATGAATCTGAATCCTTTTGGCCGGGCTCGTTACACTGATGCATTTATCAGTGTGTGTGTGTGGGGGGGGTCGTATTTTCAACGATTGCCATGTTTATATTTGTATGTATGTTAGGGCTGCTCGATTATGGCAAAAATGATAATCACGATTATTTTCACTGAAATTGAGATCTCGATTATTTGTTTTTTACCTCTTTTCAACCAACAGCAGTCACTCTCCAAATAACTTCTGCTTAGCTTTCCGAGCTTCCCTCGGGTCCTCTTAATTGCTGTGACGCGTGTTCGAAATGCATAGAGGTGCGCTCGATTTTCCACACGGAGCAGCGCGAGAGTAAAGCATGAGGGAGGGGCTAATAATCGGCTCAGTCATTTTTAATGATCGTTGAAAGCCCAGATCGTAATCGTGATTAAAGTTCGATTAATTGAGCAGCCCTGATGTATGTAACCTGCTGTGCATGTCTGTTGTAAGAGGGCTTGCACAGGAGGATGAGTGGGAGTGAGGTCGCTGTGATGTTTGGGGGAGGTTGAAGGCCATCAAAGTGAATTCCAGTGTCAGTGATTATCGGACTAACAGTTTACAGACAGTGTTCTTATTGATCAAAGCTAGATGCTGAGTAACAAGTAGAAATGTAACTATAAGAGTTTGACAGTAGTGATGAAAGCACAGAAACAGTGAACATTAAAGTCAGCTGACTCCTGCACGATGACACGCCGTCGTGATGCAGCTGTTGAGCCGAATGGATCAGAAGTAGACTTCATGCAAGTGGCAGCCTGCCCCGTGCTCGCTGCTAACACGGCGTGGTCTATAGAGCAGCAGCCCCACTGCCATTAGGTGTTGGATGAAATCATGTATAAGAGCAGTACTGAGACGTTATGATTGATGCCACCAGGCTACATCTCCGTGAGAGGTTCCCAGGACATGTTGTCTCATTAGAACAATGCTGTGATGACAGCAGGGCTCCAGCCGCTGCAACGCTCCGTTGGATAAGTGACGGAGAACTGACGGTTCTTTTGGGGGGCTTTTCTACACTAACTGACACTCAGAGGTTACCACAAATTTTCACTCAGTCCCACACATGTTCATGCAGTTGCTTTGTTCAGGTTTCATTTTAGTTCAATTCAGTTTCTTCTATATAAGGCCAACTCACAGCAGCATTCAGCTGAACGCATTTTCCATCCCCAGCTGCTCTTTGCAGAAGTACCTTGTCTGACACACACACACACACACACACACACACACACACACACACACACACACAGGGTTCAGTATCTGTGGCCTAGGATACTTGAATACATGAAGGCTGGAGTAGCTAACGATTGAACCTCTGGTAGTCGACACTCTGCATCCACAGCTGCCCACATGTATATGCCCTCTTTGTATAATACAGTTACAATGATTCAGTATAATTAGACCTTCGTTGTCAGCATTTCTTCCATAAACTGTAGCATAGTAATAAAAATGTCTTTACTGCATTTGTCCCTGTAGGCAGTCCGTAGCACCCATGGCCTGGAGGTTCCTCTGAGCCATGATGGAACGCTCCTACTTCCACAGGAATACATCACCTATCTAACACAGGTAGCCAATCAGAAGATGGAGGAGAACCATAGAAGGATATCCAGGTCAGTGTGTTGGTTGGCTGTAAAGTCAGAGGCATACTGGAGTCTCACTGGATTTCCTGTCAAACATGTGATTTTTCTCTCTCTCTCTCTGCTGCCAGCAGGTTCTACCAGAACCTCCACTCAGCCCTGCTAACAGAGAAACTCCAAAGAGTCCAGATCCAAGATCCTCATGATGCTCCGGAGACAGAAAAGGGGACAGACGAAGAGGAGGAAAAGGAGGAGAGGAAAAAAACTAGTGTATATAAACGGAGGCGAAAGAGGGAGCAGCATGAGACAGACGGTTGCCATGGTGATGGGGACTGTAGTGTGCCAGGGCTAGAAGACTGTCTGGATCTGTTCACGTGAACTAATGGCTCAGTTTCACAGACTGGTTTCACTGGATTCTAGAGTTTCCAGTTTTCAGTTTTAGAGATTGCTAGTGTTGCAGTGATGATGGGCTTTCATCACTGTGATCACCATGGTAACAACGACATTAAAGCAAATACCAAAACAGAAAAGACTGAAGGGATCAGTTATTTGAGTTCTTATTTGTGTATAGAACGAAAAAATAATTCAAAGCATAATATGTGAACTTAGAGTTTATTTACATGCTGTGACCACTAGAGTGCAGCAGTGCTCAGAAAAATGATTGACTTGAGTTACATTAGAATGGAGGGCGAACACCGTGACCTGAAATACAGAACCTGACAGTATGAAGCAATCCTGGCACATAAAACTAAGACATTGTATTTACTGAAACATATTTTGATGCTAGCAACACACATTCAGAAACATCTTTCCTTTGATTATCTCTGAGTCTTAGGCTGTATCCCAATTCAGGGTCTGCCGCCTTAAAGGCTGCATTTTAAGGCCGATTACGTCACAGCGACGCGACGAAGGCTGTCCCAATTGAAAGGCCGTTCAATAGTTGACCTTAGAAAATGTGATCATTTTATGGATAATTAAAGTCAGTCATATATCCACAAACACAACAAGCTGAAAGTCAGTGATGCTGCTCGGTTTGCAGTCCTGAACATCACGGCACAAGCAGGATCCACTGCACTGTTAATGTTAGCTGTGTTATATTACTGCCTCTGTTCGGTGGTGTCGAGCCAAACGGACTTTAACGTGTGTTTGAACGAGCTGACGGTTCACTCGTTAAGCTGAAAGAAAGATGCTTTAATCACAGCAGTCACACATGTGTCCACTGCACCATCTGGAACTCTTCTTGTTTACACTCGTAATAACACAAACACTAAATCCTGCTTCTCTGTGCTGTTGTGTAGCAGTGTGTACACCTGAGACTGTCACCTGTCTGTCCTGCACTCTCTCTCTGTTTCTTTCTCTCTGATTGTGGAATAAAAGTATGAACATGTGTTTATAAGTTACACTTGTTTGAATCCTGCAGCTTATCACACATTTGATGTCCATGTGTGACGACTGCAAGTGTCCAGAGCAGGGGTGGGCAACTCCAGGTATATATACAGATATATATACATATATACATGTATATGTTCTGTATATGTTCTAATCACTCTAATAGGATATTATGGTCGACAGTATCGAACGCTGCACTGAGGTCTAGCAGGACAAGCACAGAGATGAGTCCACTGTCAGAGGCCATAAGAAGATCATTTGTAACCTTCACTAAAGCTGTTTCTGTGCTGTGCTGAGCTCTGAAACCTGACTGAAACTCTTCAAATAAACCTCTGCAGATGATCTGTTAGCTGTTTGACAACTACTCTTTCAAGGATTAAAGAATAATTCTCACAGCTTTTCACAGAAGAATATAAAGTCATGAGTAAGGCCACGGGAGGTGATCGGTCTCTGTTTCTGTGCCGGATTTGGTTTTGTCTCCAGCTTTGAGTGCAGTGGGCATGTCTCTAACACTCATGGCGATTGTTGCCGACTTGAAGATTGTGGAATGCATTTATAAGCACATAATTAACCCTGAAGGAAGGCTTGCGTGTTCCTGCAGAGAAATAACTCCCAGTGCAGAGCGCTTATTGAGCCTTTTGTACCAGAGTTGGCATTTAGTGAATTAGGAGCAATTTTAGATTTACTCCTGATGTATTTTTTTTTTTAAAAAAAACATGTTTTTAGTGTTTTTTGGGGCTTCTAAAACGTGTTAGCAGCTCAGCGTCACAATTTTATGTTTCATGTTGAAAAATTGAAGCTTTGCTGCAAGTCCTAATCCAAAATGTCATCACGATTGCTTCTGTGCCTGAAGCGCTGTGGCCGTTTCTTATTGCGTCTTGTTGAGGCATGAGTGCGGTCGCAGGTCTTGAACCACAGTTGTGAGTGTGCTACTCTTTCAAGGATGTTTGATATAAAGGAAGGTTGGAGATTGGCCTATAATTAGCTAAGACTGCTGGGTCTAGAGATGCTTTTTGAGTAAAGGTTTAACTACAGCCAGCTTGAAGGCCTGTGGTACATAGCCGATCATTAGAGATAGGTTGATCATATTTAAGATCGAAGCATTAATTAATGGCAGGACTTCTTTGAGCAGTTTTGTAGGAATGGGGTCTAAAAGACACGTTGATGGTTTGGAGGAAGTAATTATTGAAGTTAACTCAGAAAGATCAATTAGAGAAAAAGAGTCTAACATCCAGACTGGCCAACAGCCTGTATCCACAGGCTGTGAGGCTCCTGAACTCTCTGCCCCCCTCTCACGGACAATAACCATATCCAACTTCTTAATAGCAATGAACTGGTCTGCATTGGTGCATCATATCTTTATTCTCTTCCCCCTCCTGCCCTCTTTCTTAAATAGATAACTATCATATCTGATATCATATCTCACAGTACAATAATATTGAATGGGTTGCATTGTTGTATTTTGTCATGTTTCTCAGGTCTTTGTCTGAATTTCTACGAACATTATTGCTAAGGATTGTCTTATTGCATTGGAGTCACACTGGGTTAAATATGTACACTTGGGTTTTAAGGGGTATTTATTATTTTCTTCTTTTTTTTGGGTTGTATGGAAGCCCCAAACGCAATTTCATTGTTCTTGACAATGACAATAAATAAATAAATAAAATAAATAAAAAAAAAAAACTTAACATCAATGGTACTAAGAGTAGCTGTAGATAATATTACATCTGTGGGATGATTACTGGTCATTTTTTCTCTAATGATAAAAATGTTATTTGTGAAGAAGTTCATGAAGTCATTACTAGTTAACATTAAAGGGATTGTTGGCTCAACAGAGCTCTGACTGTTTGTCAGCCTGGCTACAGAGCTGAAGAGAAACCTGGGGTTGTTCTTATTTTCTTCAATCAGTGATGAATAGTAAGATGTTCTGGCTTTGCAGAGGGCTTTCTTATAAAGCAGCAAACTATTTCTCCAGGCTAAATGATGATCCTCTAAATTTGTGACACGCCATTTCCTCTCCAGATTACGAGTCATCTGCTTTAGTCAGGTACTTCTGATTTAAGGCCTTAGTTGTCATGGTCCTGGGTCGATGACCCAGCGTTTTGAGTGCATTGTTATTATTTTCTAGTTTATTCTGATTTTGTATTAATTCTTTGGGTTTAGTTCTCGTGTCTTATTATCCCTACCTGTGTCTTCTCTCTGTGCTCTGTTCGTGTCTCCGAGTTTTGTGTTGTAAAACAGTCTGTGAGGTTCCTGTTTTACTTTGTAGGTCTGTGCCTCGTTATGCCCATTAGTTCCAGCTGTGTCCACCCCTGCGTGTCATTTCCTCATTACCTGGTTTGTATTTATAGTGTGTGTTTGCCTCTGTTTGTCGTTGTGCCGTCTGTGTATTTTGGTATTCCTTGCATCTCTCTGTGCGCCTTTCCCTGCGTGTCCTCACGTTTTCAGGTTTGTTTATTAGTTTTCCCAGTCTAGGCTTTAGTTGCTCCTTGTTCCTTATATCCTGTTTTGTACTTTCATTACAAATAAACACTTACTCACACCCCAGCCAGTACCTGCACTTTGGATCCTTTTTCTCACCACACCACACGACTGCTGCCCCAGCCGTGACAGTACGGAGCAACCACAAAATGGATCCAGCGGACTTACCTGGAGAGAGCAATCTCGCACGCGTCTTACGCCTGGTGGACTGGATAACCCACACATCTAATGCCAGGGCAAAACTTGTGGGAATGAACGTGACAGAAACAATCCTTGAAGGAAATCCCTATCTCCGCCAGGCTAGAGGATTTACGGACTTAATCGCCGATCTGCATGAAGCCCGGGAGGCGGTGCAGGGTTGGGAATCAGCTGACTTTGTCTGGCAGCAGCGAGCAATGGCCTTCCCAGAGCCGCCGCGTCAGTTTCACCTGCTGGAGATTTTGCCTGGCCCGCTGGATGTGGTTTTTCCCGGCCCGTTGGAGCCGGCAGCCGCCAGTGTGTCAGCCCACAGCCGGATTTTGGGACTTCACTGCGGCTGGCTGTGGTGAATGAGAAGGACACTAGTATTGTTTCTGAGACTATTTTTTGGGGGGGGGCTGTGTGTTGTATGATGAAGGATAGCAGTCGTAGTTTACCTACCTCCATCATAACTGACCTCACCCAAGTGGGCATTTTTTAAAACTTCCATGAAAGTTACAGGCTGTGTTTCTTCCGCTCCTTCTGAGCCTGGATTTGGTAACTCTGAGACAATTAACCCCACTCAGAGGATGTTAGGGACAGTTTTTCACCTGCTCCACTTCTGCTACAATCGGCAGTACAGTCAGCCACTCTGAGTGAGTCAGTCACTCACTCAGCCTGTAGTTTTGCCGTTAGACCAATTATCAGTTCTGTCATTAGCTCACTTATCAGCTCAGCCATCAGCTCTGCCATCTGTGCAGCCTTTAGTGCAGCCTGTAGCACTGTCTGCAGTTCAGTTACCTGCCTCCTCATCCACTCATTCCTCTATTTTGTCACCTGTAGAGCCTTTGCTTTTACCTGCCTCTGTAAAGGAAGCTATGGCAATACATCCTCGCCTGGTCCAGCCTCATCCTCATCCACGCCTGGTCCAGCCTCATCCTCATCCACGCCTGGTCCAGCCTCATCCTCATCCACGCCTGGTCCAGCCTCATCCTCATCCACGCCTGGTCCAGCCTCATCCTCATCCTCGCCTGGTCCAGCCTCATCCTCATCCTCGCCTGGTCCAGCCTCATCCTCAGCCTCATCCTCGCCTGGTCCAGCCTCATCCTCGCCTGGTCCAGCCTCATCCTCGCCTGGTCCAGCCTCATCCTCGCTTGGTCCAGCCTCATCCTCGCCTGGTCCAGCCTCATCCTCGCCTGGTCCAGCCTCATCCTCGCCTGGTCCAGCCTCATCCTCGCCTGGTCCAGCCTCATCCTCGCCTGGTGGTCGTCGGGTATCAGCCTCCCTCTCCAGAACTATTTCATGGTGAGTTGGATAAGTGTGCAGGATTTCTCACACAACTCACTTATTTTTTTCGTCAGCAAATTCACTTGTACCCTGGTGATGGAGATAAGATTTCATTCTTTGTGCAACTGTTACGTGATCGCGCACTACAGTGGGCCCAGGCAGTGCTGCGATCCCACCCCGAAATCTCCTACCCCGA